TATATGCCCTTAACTGGAATCAAACCTGGGATCCTCAAGCCACACTCTATCCACTGAACCAAACTGGCCACGGCTACAGCAGCAAATTGAAATTGTTATCTTGAGATAACATGTTGGTATTCTTTTGCTTAATCTCCATTATATTTTGTTTTAAATGGATTTCCCAAACCAAAATACTCCTAACACCTTTTACCCTGCTACAAATCACATATTGAATGTAATATACTACCCTCCCATCGCAGATTTATACTGGTAGTACCTCTGAGCTTATGCACTTTTAACATTCTTTGAACTCTTATATAATAGTGTATTGACCTGTATTTGTTAATATGTATGTAATTCATCCTTTTAGAAATTCCCTTCAATCCTAGTAATAGACGTTTCCCTTAGATGTCTGCATATGTATTGCATACTGCTTGTCTTGGTAGAGTCTTAATTTCCAGAAAGATAAAGCATATTTAAATGATTTTGTCTTCTCCTTTCTCAATGCCTTCTTTGTGCCTTACTTTTATCTTTGTTGACTTTTAAAGTTTTGTCTGACATAGTTATCAATAAATTTAATTGGTAATTTCAAATTGATGCATTTGAAATTAATTTTTCATAATACCTGCATTATATAATTTATGCATATATCTTCTGTCATGACACCCAAGTTCATTCTCTTTACAATTGTTTCAGCCAGCTTGAATGTGTAGTTTTTACTTGGACTGTTTTGAGAACAAATAAATTGGAACATTTAATTGTTCTGTCAGTAGATGAATCTTTTCTAAATTATGCCAATGTGATATATTAAAAATATTCAGTTTTAAGGAGTACACATTAAAGCTAAATGTAGATTGCAGAAACATTAAATTCTTTAATCCTAAAAATCATATTTAATGGTCTATGTATGCACAGAAATCTTTGTACATTAACTATGTCTATGAAATATGCCAAGAAAATAATAATTAGGGCTTATCTTACTAGAATAGTATTATCAAAAATGGAAGTTAAATGGCTAATAAAGGAATGAGATGGGGCACTGTGAACACTTGTGAGTTGCTCTTAGAGCATACCTCTTCCTTAGGGTACCAGCAGAGAACCATTTTACCTTATGTGTGAAGACAGAAGCTTACCTTCTATTTTCTTCAAGTTAAACTGTGGTTACTTCCAGAACTGAGATGTTTTAGGACTAACATGTGTGTACCTGGTTCAATGCATTAATTGTATTATCAAAATGGAAGTCAAATGGCATACCTTCTATTTTCCTCAAGTAAACCTATGGTTACTTCCAGAACTGAGATGTTTTAGGACTAAAGGATGTGTACCTGGTTTGGTGCATTATTAATGGAAAAGGACAAAAATCCAGGAAATCTGACATATGGGGGGAAAAAAGACTAGAACCAGAACAGAATTAGCTTCTGTTCTTGACTGGAGACATTGTTTCCTTTGCTAAGTTTCATGGAACTTACTAAAGGGGATTCGAAACTATCTCATGTGGTTGTCCCCTCCAGGCTGACATGGTATCATTCCATAGAATAATGATGACATGGACAAGGTGACTGTAAAGGGACACACATAAGCTGATCTCTCTTCTCTACAGATGACAAAAATAGAAAGCTTTGGGCAAGAGTGGAAAGGCGCACTGTCACTTGTCTCCCCCCTGCCCCCCTCCCGAAGAAGCTGGGCCACATTCTGCTCAGCCAACACATTCCCAGAGGAATGTGATTTAACTTCCACTTTTCACACTGTAAGAAGCAACACTGTAGACCTGTGGGGAGGGTGATGGCAGCCTGGGAGGATTTTGGATAAGTGTTTTACACTCCAGTGTTTTCATGTGACCTGACTTTCATTCTCAATTTAGTTACATCTTGACCTGGAAAATGTAGCCACGGGTTGCCTGTCTTCCTTCAGCTTACCTTGATCATAGTGTGCATCCCCCTTCTCCACTTACTCCCACCCCATGCAGCCTCTACCCCTCCCCCTTGAAACCTTCTAATAGAGTCTTTCTCTAGATGTCTCCACGGGTATTTACTCTGCTTCCTTCAGAAGGGTCTTTACTTCCAAGGAGAGAAAATGCATTTGCGTCCTTGAAATACACAGAAAGACTATCCACCTAAATCAGTCTTAGTGGTTCCCCAGATCTGACTTCGCATATATCTAGCAGCTGTTTAAGAACCCTATTGTAGTAAAGGAATTAATATTCCCCACTTCTCCCTGGCAACCCCCCCCCACTCCATTAAACGACTGATTTTTATGCATGAGATTATATACAAGCCTTGGGTGACCTGTTTTTTAATTTTTTTCCTTCCCCCTCCCTCTTTTTTTCCTTGCGGTAAAATAGTGCTGAAGAAAGAGGGCACTAGTGTACAGCCCAGATCGCATCCTTGCGCCGTCTGGATTAGAGCTGAGGCGTCTGCTAACCGCGCGTGGCGGCGGCGGTCCTTTGACCTGGAGACCATAGCGCTGTCTACCCGGACTCAGGTACGTCTCAAGTCCAAAATTCTCCAAGCCGACTCAGGTGAGCAGAAACCTCCCGGCGGTGAAACCCATCCCAGTGGCAGACAGTCCCAATCTATGGGATTTTCCTCCTGGTCCCAGGGGCACCCTCGCTTATTTATTTATTTTAGTCCTACATCCCGGGAAGTACTGGAACCCATGGATGCCTGGGTTGTCTTCCTCCCTTTGCCTGCCTCACCCCACATGCTCCTTTAGCTCCTTTCTTCTCCGACTCTCACCTTGAGAAAGGAAGCCAGGCAGGGACGAGAGAGGGAGCCAACTTCAGCCCCAGGAGCGGCTGGAATTTGGCGCTTCTTCCCCCCCCCCCCCGCCCCCCAAACGGCCAGGTTTGAATATGCTTGCAAGAGCACTGATGGCAGAAGGAAGAGAATGAGGACTGAAGGGTGGTGAGGAGGCGAGGGGAGGTGTGTGTGTGTGTGAAGAATGCAGTGGGGGTGGTGGTTGGAAGAGCGAAGTCGGGGGCGGGGGTGGTGGGCTGTCAAAGAATAGCAACTCGCTGATCGCTCCAGGCTCTGCCAGCGGAATGTCTGGGTACCTGGACCGAGCGCTGTCCAGGGTACTGAGGGCGGCAGGGCTGGGCTTGCAACCGCGACAGCAACCTTGACGCTCGCTCTGTTCCCTTTCTAGCCAAGTATGCACAACCAAAGGTCCCCATTTAGGCGAGTGCAGGGGCCCTTCCACCCCGTCCCTCCATCCCCCATCGCAGGAAACAAGTCACCTCATATGTACCCTTTCTCCCCGAGCATCTACTGTAAGCCTGACTTCTTGGGCGGGGGTGTGGGGAGGGGGGGAGAGGACGTACCAAACTCCGACGTGCAGACTTTACCAGGCATTGCCTTAGTAACTAACATGGATTTCCTCAAGCTGGCACATTTATATTTACTACTTGGGTTGTACGTTAGTGTCTCTTCAACCCCTCACTAAAGTGAAAGGTGCCTTCCTTGTTAGCGCTTCCATGTTCTTAATGAAAGAGTTTCCAAATTTCTTCTGCGAAAAAGTTGATCTTTTCAAATCCTGAAAGTTCGCTGAAGGTGAAAGATCTAGCTTCTCCTCCCAGTTCTCTTCCCTCCCCCTCAAATCAGTGAGCATAATGAGTGTCTGAGGACCGGGAGAGACTTGTGGCTGGAGGAGGGGGCGGGTCGGCGGGGCTCTCTGCGTCTCTCCGGATGATGAGGGCAGCCGGGGACCAGACACATCACCTTCTGCTTGGACCAGAGCTGCCTCCCATGCTGTCCCTCCAGCCGATATCGTGATGTGCTGAGATGAATTGGACTGGGCAACTATTAGCATCGCTGACCCCTGAGTTTGACACATGTGATAACTGAGCTTTGATTTTCTTTCTTTCTTGTAGACAGACAGCTTTCAGCTCACCGCTGGCTGCCACCACGACGCCCACTGTCCCCTTGATCCGTTTACTTTGGTGCACCGGTGAAGAAAGGGCACTCGAATCCGCCTAGAAACGCCCCCTGGGAGCGGAGGTGGTCCTGGAGGACAAGGAGCGGGAGGCGGAGGGGAAGGAGGCTGTGGTGCAGGCGGCGAAAACGCTGGAAGAGCGGGGTTGGCGACCGGGACTGAGCCGGGAGAGGCAGGCGTGGGGCATCCCCGCGGTGCAGG